ACAGCTCAGCACTGGCATCCATAGCACATTTGACATGACAGTGAGGACAATTTGCAGAGCCCATGGTGTGGCTGTAGGAGAAAGAAAACAACAGCTGTGTCCCAAAATATTACTCTGGCCTTGGTTGGTCAGAGATCCTTGTATGGAGACCAATGGGGTTGGCTGGGAACCTGGAGTTTTTATCAGTCTGATTCCCCAAAGTGGGGAAGACAGCCCCCCCTCCAATCCAACCAAAAAAAATGAATATGCGTGTCACCTCTGACACGTGTCATAGGTTCGCCATCACTGGCTAGCTTCTCTCAGGAAAAATGGCCATTTTGGTTTGGATGCACATGAACGACCAAATGCAGGTCGTCTGGCTAGTACTTTCCCACATCTCCCTGCCCTGCTTCCCGCCGCAGCCTCTCCTCAGGCACCTCAAGTCTGTGCCTCCCTCCCTGAACCAACGCCTTGGTTGAGTCGTTGAAAATGAAACCTTCTGTGCTCTGCGGAGTATATTCCTCAGGGCTCTCCACACAGCTCAGCACTGGCATCCATAGCACATTTGACATGACAGTGAGGACAATTTGCAGAGCCCATGGTGTGGCTGTAGGAGAAAGAAAACAACAGCTGTGTCCCAAAATATTACTCTGGCCTTGGTTGGTCAGAGATCCTTGTATGGAGACCAATGGGGTTGGCTGGGAACCTGGAGTTTTTATCAGTCTGATTCCCCAAAAAGCAGGGTGCACCAGTCCCTCTTCCAATAGTCACTGAGGGCACTTTGGGACTAGTCAGACCCATAAGCTTGCCTCTGACTTTGTTTCCTCTGTTAAGCTCAAAATGCAGGGTGTGGCAGGAGTATCTCCTGTCCTCAGCCTACTGGGAGGGGCTGGCTCTTCTGGGGAGAAATGGCAGCTTAGGCTTGGAAGGCAATAATGTCACACTTCTAGCAACATTTTCCAAGAAATCAGAAAAAACAAACAGAAAGCATATATGCTCCCCTATGTTCATAGCACAATTTACAATAGCTACGATTTGGAAACAGCCTAAATGCCCATGAGCAGAGGAGTGGATTAAAACACTGTGGTACATCTACACAGTGGAAAACTATGCTGCTGTAAAAAAGAAGGAAGTCTTGCCATTTGCAACAGCATGAATGGACCCTAGAGAGCATTATGCTAGGGGAAATAAGGCCGTCAGAGAAACATAAATATCACATGATCTCCCTCATTTGTGAAGGCCGTCAGAGAAAGATAAATATCACATGATCTCCCTCATTTGTGAAATATAATGAACAACATAAATTGATGAACAAAGCCTTTACTTGTTTGGCTCAGTGGATAGAGCCTCAGCCTGCGGACTCAAGGGTCCCAGGTTCGAGTCCGGTCGGGGGCATGTACCTTGGTTGCAGGCACATACCCAGTAGGGAGTGTGCAGGAGGCAGCTGATCAATGTTTCTCTCTCATTGATGTTTCTGACTCTCTATCCCTCCACCTTCCTCTCTGTAAGAAATCAATAAAATATATTTAAAAAATAAATAAGTAAATAAAAAATAAATTGATGAACAAAAATAGAGCCAGCATCACAGGAGCATTGAACAGACCATCCAAACTAAGAGGGAAGGCAGGGGAGGGGAAGGGGTAAAAGGTCAACCGAGGGACTTGTATGCTTGCATATGAGCATGATCAGTGGACATAGACAGCAAGGAGGTGAGGGCATGTGCTGAGGGGTAGAAGCATCCGGGGAGAGGTCAATGGGGGGGGGACAGGAGACTTATGTAATAATTTAAAAAATAAAGAATTTAAATAATAAAAAAAAGAATGTCCCAATGCAGGCCTCTTGGCCACATCTCCCTGCCCTGCTTTCCACCTCAGCCTCTCCTCAGGCACCTCAAGTCTCTGCCTCTCTCCCTGCTCCAAAGCCCCAAGTGAGTGTTTGCAATAGGAAAGTCCTGTGTTCTGGGTTAAGAGCATAAAAACAAAGACAAAACCAAACCAAAACAATGAAACTGCTCTTTTGTCTCTCCCCAACACCGCGCTGCTTGGGGAGCTCTTCATGGGGCAGCCTTTGGGGCTTTTGCCTTTGGTCCAATTTCCCTGGCAGCAAGCTGCCCTGTGGCTTTCCTTTACACAGTTGGATGTTACCCATGTCGTGAAGGGATGCAGCTTTGGAGCAAAATAGCCTTCTCCTCCCCGTCTTGGCCCACTGGCTGGCTGTCCCTCTCAAGCTCACTTCCCAGTTCTTGCCATTGTCCAAGTGTCCTCTGCCCTTCCTTGTTGTAAACTGTCTGCTCAGCTGCATCTAATGTGTTAATACCAGGCGGATGTTCTGCAATTTAGTTGTATTTCCAGTCTGGCTCAGGACAACATCCACAATACATCTGCCTATTCAGCCACAATTTTTTATTTATTTTTTTTAAATATATTTTATTGAGTTTTTACAGAGAGGAAAGGAGAGAGAGATAGAGAGTTAGAAACATCGATGAGAGAGAAACATCGACCAGCTGCCTCCTGCACACTCCCCACTGGGGATGTGCCCGCAACCAAGGTACATGCCCTTGACCGGAATCGAACCTGGGAACTTTCAGTCCGCAGGCTGACGCTCTATCCACTGAGCCAAACCGGTTTCGGCTATTCAGCCACAATTTATTTTATTTTTACCACTTTCTGATCCTTGCTGTTAAAACCAGCCAGAGTGACCCCGGTACAGCTCACAAATGCACAGGGCAGGCTCCCTGCAGGCTCTCACCTGGAGCCTGCCACCCCTTCCCAGACTTCTTCAGGGAAGACCCCACTGACCAATGCTGGTTTGACCTCCCCCAACAGCTGCTGTCACCTGTCACAGGTATCCTGGTCCATTGTGTACTGTTCTCCACTAGATGCCAGTTCCCAAGGATAGGGGACTCTGTATTTGGGGCGTCTGAAACAGCTGGGCTCCACAGTATCCACAGCCTCAGTCTTTATTGTGTCCCTTATGCCCACCCATGGCTGCTGAGCCTCCATCCAGCCTGATTCAAGTTCTCACACTACAGCCTTCCCTCAGCTCCCCACTCAAGGAACCTGACCCATGAGCTGACAGAAACATATTCATAAGCAGCCAACCTCTCTGCCCCTCAAACACACCCCAGCAGCACAGTATTCCCCAGAATCCAGGAACTATCACCTCATTTCAGGTCGTGTATGCACAGGAAAACTTAGGGGGCTCAGAGACACACCAACCACAACTCATCCTCTGAACGTGGAATTATTTGGAGATCAAGCCTCTCCTACTGGAAACACCTGTATTGCAGAATGTTCTCACCATTGAATATACACACCACTATATCCTGGAGAACTCATGCTGCTGGGAGAGGGGGTGGGAGAGAGGCATGCTTTAGTTTTAATAAAATTAAAATGCCAAATAATCCCTAAAATGATAAAAAGAGACTTAAACATCAGTGGCCTACAGGGGTGTAAGTGGGTTGGCTGGAGGCAGGATTTTCTAAAGGTAAACTGATTTTGGGGCCCAAAGCATCAAGGGGCTTCTCCCAGATACAGGAGGTTCAGCCCTAACCGGTTTGGCTCAGTGGATAGAGCGTCGACCTGTGGACTGAAGGGTCCCAGCTTTGATTCCGGTCAAGGACATGTAACTTGGTTGCTGTCACATCCCCAGTGGGGAGTGTGCAGGAGGCAGCTGATCGATGTTTCTCTCGATGTTTCTGACTCTCTATCCCTCTCCCTTCCTCTCTGTAAAAAAATCAATAAAAATATTTCCTTTTAAAAAAAAGAAGTAGGTTCATTTGCAGCAGGCAGGTGCCTGGGGGGTGGGGAAGAGCAGACCTGGCCAGCACATCTCAGGCAGACACAGAACCCAAATCCCTCCCAGGGCCTTGCCTGGGCCTCCTCTCTGCCAAACACTGGGAACGGCACAGTGAGCCCAGCTACAGTGGGTACATCCC